GAAATTGCAGGCTTTACCTTGTTGAAGCGGTCGTGGGGGACGTACTGCAGCACGATGGGCTCCATGGTGAGCACGTTGGCGAACTGCACCTCCGGGATGTACAGAGCGCACACCACGTGGGCCCAGCCTGGAACAGGGGAAAAGTGGGAATTCAGCCCGGGATCCCCCAAAAAAAACACTCCATGCCAAGAAAATTTCCATCCCAGTGAAAACGCCATGGAAACCCCATGGAAATTCCACGCAAACTCCGTAAAAATTCCACGGAAATCCCATGAAAATCAGGATTATCCAGCTCTCCAAATCCTTGGAATTCTATCCAGTGAATATTTGTCGGGCCTGACTGCCCAAGGTTTTGGGGAGAATATTTTATGTTTTTATAAAATAATCCCCCAAAGCTACAGTTGAGCCATTGCCATTTCTGGCCAGCTCCAGGAGGCGCTTCCATGAAATATCCTGGACCCGGCACTTCCCAAGAAACAGGATTTATCTGCACAAATACCTAATTTCACTCTTTGAGCAAAAGCAACTTTCCTGAAAAAAATGAGGATTTGGGAAAAATGAAGTTTGATTATAGAGCCACGAGCTCTGATCCATGGAAACGCAGAGGATTCCCAGCACCTGAGGCTGAGGAACAGCACAAATCATCAGGAAAACCCCGCACAGGAAAACCTCTGGGATGGGGAAACGGGATCCCACTGCAATCCCACACCTCGGGCTGGCGAAGATTCCTGCGGSRCCAAACACCAAAAATTCCAAAACWTTTCCCAAAAATTTTTAGGGCTCAGCTTTGATGCCAATCTGAGCTCAGGCAGGTCCCCCTGCCAGGGCAAGGATTTCTTTCCACRGAGGCGTCAAAAAAAGGGAATTTTATAGGAAAAAGGTGGAGAGGTGAATTCCTTTCCGAGCCTCCAACCTTCCCTCCRCGATTTTCCGGGCGGGATTTCCCAGTCCGGAGCGACTCACCCCCGTTATCCGTGCGCTTCAGGGCTCCATCCTTGTGGGGACACAGCTCACACCTCTGGAAACGGAGCAGAAATCACCAAATTTAATAAAGTTCCATTGATTTGGTTCCGGATCAGAAAATCGAGGATTCCACCCCAATCCGGGAGGCCTCTCCTGGAGGGGGAYGGTGGGATGAGGGTTCAGGGGGTTCAGGGGCATAAAAATGCCCCRAAATAGCGCCCAAAAGGCCCTGAGGGAGGGATTTAAATCCTAAACCTCGGTGTCGCTTTTGGGGCTTTTTTAGGGCTGAGTTTAGGGCTGTGGTTGAGGAGTAAAACTGAAAGTGGTGACTCAGAGCAGAGGGTGAAGAAAAAGGAGTTTTTATCTGTCTTTCCTTCCTTCCTGCCTCTTGTGATGTTTTTTTCCATCTTGTGACAGCCCAGGGGACAGTTTTGTCTGTAGGGTGGTGGCTGAGCTTGGTGTCACCCCAAATCCAGGCTCAGAGGTGCGGGGGCAGTTTTTGGGGTGATTTCACCCCCGCCAAGCTGAGCTGCTCCAAAATCTCTCTCTGTCACCTCAGGGCAACACTTAGAGAAGAGCTCGTGGTGATTCCTGGGGTTTTGAATTTTCAAAAGGCCCCAAAACGGTGAGATTTGAAATCCATCCCGCAGCTCATCCCAACAACTCTCCACATCACCTCAGCTGATCCCAACTTTCCCCCTCTCACAAAATTCCCAGGAACAGGGAAAACACCTCGGGTTTTTTCTGGGAATGTTGTGGTCTCCAAAGCCAGAGATATGGGATAACTTTGGGAAGGGCTCTCCGCACTCACCACCCGGGCGGCTCTTTCCTGGGATTCGCATTTCCGGCAGAACCAGGGGCCGGTGGGAACCTGGACAATTCCATAGCAAGCTGGGGGAAAAAAAGAAAAGAAAAAAAACCTTAATAACACCTTTAAATAGATTTAAAAATAAAAAAAAAAAAAAGTCTCGGGGTTTTAGGAAGGTTTAGGGCACCAAAGGCAGCGATGGAAAGCCAGGCTGGGCTCCCGGGCAGCAATCGGGATTGTCCCGTAATTCCACCTCATTCCCTCCCTCATTCCACCCTGGAACCCGGGCTGGGATGGGATCCCGACCCTTCCCCGCCTTTGGGGCCGCACGGGGGAAATCTCCCCCTGGAAACAACCCCGGGATGTTCCTGGAGGAGGAGCCGGGAGGGATTCCCACAGCCTGGAAAAGGAGCAGGGAGGGATTCCCACAGCCTGGAAAAGGAGCAGGGAAACACCGGAGCCAGGAAAAACAACAGAGAAACCAGGGGAAACAGGAGAAAAACAGGGAATAAACGGGGGAAAAAACAGGTGAGAAAACAGGAAAACCATGGAAAAAAAACCATGGAAAACAAAAAAAAAGAAACCCGGGAAAAAACAACTGGGGGAAAAAAAGGGAGGGAAAGCAGAGGGAAAAAAACAGGGAAAAGAGGGAAACATGAACTCCCTGGAAGGCACGGGTCCATCTTTAGCCCCGGGCTGAGGGCCAAGAACGAGCASTCAGATGGAGCTGCTGTGCCAGGGGGAAACAGGGAAGAAAACAAGGGGAGGAAAAATGCAGAAAAGAGCAGAAAACACAATTTGTAAATCT